AATACCTGTTCAGTCCTCTCTGCACACACAGCACCTTCATTCCATTCTTCACAAGGCAGACAAATGTGGCTCACTACCCCTCAAGCTGAAGGCTGGATCGAACATAGTTTTATCGCTTTGGACATCAAAATCTAGTTAAACTGCTTGTTAATCACCTGTAATTTTGTAGAACAGATTTTAAGCTCTTGCACCCCCCCCCCCCCACCCCTTCACTCTCTTTGTAGTGCAGGATCCAGAATTATTTACAAAATAAATGACGGAAGAGATGGAGTGGAAACACAAGCAAGTTTGGAAATAATAATCCTCGGATTTGATACATCCCTTAACACTTGAACACTGCCTGATGCAGTGACCTCTATCAACATCCTGTCCTCCTGGGGAACTTCTCCTGATTAATACTATGGCATCTTTAATGTCCTCCCGAAGAGGCAGATGGGCCTTGGTTTAGTCTCAGCTGAAGGATGATCGTAATATAGCACATCCACAGCAATTGAGAGTCAGCCTAGACCAGAGGTTTGAAACTGTGGAGTGTGCCTCCCCAGGCGCCGATTACGTGCCTGCCAGCAGTCCTGGGTATCACAAGCTAGCCCCATGTCCCGGTAAGATTGCTCCGCCGATGGCCCAGTCCAGCGATAGTGTTTAGTGTTGATGGCCAGATCGCACCAGTGATAGCCATCCCTGCGTCATGAAGAGTGACCCCTTCTCTGAAATAATTTTGCCCACCAGTATCTATAGAACTAAAGTAACATATATATACATATATATAACCATATACAAGGATTATTATATACTTAAGACAATCATTATACTAAGCTTTTATATTAGTAAAAGTAGCAAAACAGATTAAAAAGATACATGGTGATCAGCCAAACTGCAGTTTCCTATTGGACTTGTCAATGCAAAACTTATAATCTCATCGTTTGTGATCGACTCAAAATTCAACAGCATTATAGCACAAAATCTAGGAAGTCATCGATCAGGGCGAGGGGACGGCAATGATATAATGATGTAAATAAAATGAAAAGAAGTATCTCCCCCCACGCTCCCCCACCCACCCACACACACACACACACACCAGGAGCTCAAGGAAGAGTTACTCTTCCTTCTCCTCCCTCGTGGGCACCAATGGGCCTCGCTACGGTGAAGATTTCTGGGATTTTTCCCATTCAGCTCCTGCAAATTCTAACAGATAGGATTATCCCAGACGGACAAGCAGCTTGCACCTAATGCTTTCTTGGAATTATGTAAGGCAAGTTGCATGGCTCCAACAGGAGAATGCACATTCCATTCCAATACAAGTGATTTTCCATGTGTAAATGGGATGCATTTTCAAAGAACACGGGAAGCCTAGAGCAGAAAGGATATGAACTGCAGAGATCTGCATAAACTGCAGTTTATAGAGGGTTAACAACAACAATTGTATTAAAATGGTGACATGCAAGGAAGATCAGAGAAGACAGCATTGGACAAATAATAATAATCCTTGCATTTGATATAGCGCCTTATCATGTCTTCAAGCACATCTCAAAGCGCTGAAATTATCTGGAGGTGACAAAGACATGAATGGGTTTTAGGTAGGGAAGAAGATGAGAAATATTTTAGAGGTAGAAAAAAGCAATCTTATAATGAATGGAGCACTTTAATGAAAATACAGAACCCACAATCTAATTTGATTATGAATACAACATTTTGTCCACTCTAGCCATCTGTTATTTAATAATCCTCGCCTTTGATATAGTGCCTTATCATGTCATTGAATGTCTCAAAGTATTTTACAGGATTTACTGTAAAGTGCAGTCACTGTGCATTTGTAGGAAACCGCAGCAGCCAATTTGCACACAGCAGCATTATGTATGTATATGTATGCGAGATTCCCTCCCCTACACTCTCATCACCAAACTGTAACTGTTCACAAAATCATGAGTGAGGTTAGGATGAAGAAGAAGGCCCTTCGGTCCATTTGATCTCATGCTTCCAGAATACCCACCCACCATTTTCCCTACCACAAAATCAAGCTTTTTTTAAATGAGTCCCAATGGCCTGGTCTCAAACCCCTTTTCTGGCAACCTAATGCATATCTTCGCCACACCTCCTGCTAGCAGGCCTCTGCACTTGACTGATCTCAACCAATGGTGGCCATCCTGTTGTTTGCCTTAAGGCTCATATGGCGAAGGAGGGGGAAAGAAATCAGCCAGGGTATCTCACTCCTGATCATCATCCAGTCACAACTATTGGGCAGCAGTGAGTGCCAACCTGAGGTGAACAGCCTCTAAGATCAACCAGTGCCTGTGGCACCATATGAGTCACCACTTTGAAGTGAGTATGGAAGAAACAGGTTCATGATAAAGGTAGTGGCTCACCACACTGGTTATACAGTACCATAATCACCAATAAACTTCTCCACTTTTACTATGATCTCTTGACCAATGTACAGAATTTACTGACTTATTATGAAGCCCGCTCTCCCTTCCCCCAAGCCATTCGCGCACACAATACACAGTCGATCCACTTTACAGCTTCTGTGGAGCGTGTTAAGGCGTCTCAACGACATGATACAACAACAACAAAATTACATTTGTACACCGCCTTTCACATCAGGAGGATGTCCCAAGGCGCTGGACAGGCAGTGTTTCAGATCCCAGCTGGGGGTTCGGTTGGGGGAGGGAGGGTGATCGAAAGCACGATTGAAGAGGAGTGTCTTGAGATGGGTCTTGAAGGAGGCAAGGGAGGGGGCACTGCGGGATGGAGTTCCAGAGGGTGAGGACAGAGTGGCTGAAGGCTCGCCTGCCAATGGTGGGATGAGCAAGGCGGGGACGTGAAGCAGGCCAGGTTGGTACGTTAGGAGGTCGCAGAGGTAGCTTCACCGCTGTCTCACACCGCAGGCCGCCGAAACCCTCATACAGGCATTCATTACATTGAGGCTCGACTGTACAAACTCCTTGCTCCTCCAAAGGCTGAAGCCCGTGTGCTCTCCCGGACCAGGCTCCGTGACCCTATCACCCCATCCTGGCCCGACTCCACTGGCTTCCCATCACACAGGGGATACAGTTCAACATCCTGGTGCTCACCTTCACAGCCCTCCATGGTCTCGCTCCCCCACCTCTGTGACCTCCTAACCCCCACCATCCTGCCCGCTCCCTCTGCTCAGTGGGCTCCGGCCGGCTTCACCTCCCCCGCCTCACTCGCCCACTGTTGGCGGGAGGGCCTTCTGCCACTCTGCCCCCACCCTCTGGAACTCCATCCCGCAGTCCCTCCGCCTCACCCCCTCCCTCACCTCCTTCAAGACCCATCTCAAGACCCTCCTCTTCGACCGTGCGTTCGATCTGACCCCACCATCCTGACCCCGCCCCTCCCCATCCTGACCCCCGCCCCCCCATCCTGCCTCCACCCCCCCCCATCCTGACCCCCGCCCCTCCCATTCTGACCCCCGCCCCCCCATCCTGACCCCCCCCCCCATCCTGACCCCCACCCCCACCCCCCCATCCTGACCCCGCCCCCCACCCTGACCCCCGCCCCCCCCATCCTGACCCCCACCCCCCCATCCTGACCCCCGCCCCCCCATCCTGACCCCCACCCCCCATCCTGACCCCACCCCCCCATCCTGACCCCCACCCCCCATCCTGACCCCCACCCCCCATCCTGACCCCCACCCCCCATCCTGACCCCCGCCCCCAGCTCGGGTCTGAAACTCTGTCTGTCCAGAGCCTTGAGACGTCCCCCCGTTCCCCCCCCCCCGACGTGAAAGGCACTTTACAAATGTCATTTTGTTGTTGTTGTTTAACAAACAAATTAAACAGTCTAGTTATCCGCAGCGCGGGCACAGCCCCCCTCACCCCCCACCCCTCACCCACACCCCCCCCTCACACCCTCCCCTCCCCCCCACACACCCCTCACCCCCCCCACCCCCTCACCCCCCCACCCCTCACCCCTCCCTCCCCCCCACACACCCCTCACCCCCCCCACCCCACACCCCTCACCCCCCCCACCCCCTCACACCCCACACCCCTCACACCCCACACCCTCCTCTCCCCCCCACACCCCTCCCCCCCAAACACCCCTCACCCCCCCACCCCCTCACACCCCACACCCCTCACCCCCCCCACCCCTCACACCCCTCACCCCCCCCCACCCCCTCACACCCCACACCCTCACCCCCCCACCCCCTCACACCCCTCACCCCCCCCACCCCCTCACACCCCACACCCCCCACCCCCTCACACCCCACACCCCTCACCCCCCCACCCCCTCACACCCCACACCCCTCACCCCCCCACCCCCTCACACCCCACACCCCTCACACCCCACACCCCCTCACACCCCACACCCTCCTCTCCCCCCCCACACCCCTCACCCCCCACACACCCTCACCCCTAACCCCCCCCCTCACCCCCCCCCACCCCTCACACCCCACACCCCTCACCCCCCCACCCCCTCACACCCCTCACCCCCCCACCCCTCACACCCCACACCCTCACCCCCCACCCCTCACACCCCACACCCCCTCACACCCCACACCCCTCACACCCCACACCCCTCCTCTCCCCCCCACACCCCTCACCCCCCACACACCCCTCACCCCCTAACCCCCCCTCACCCCCCCCACCCCCTCACACCCCACACCCCCTCACACCCCACACCCCTCCTCTCCCCCCCCCACCCCTCACCCCCCCCACACACCCCTCACCCCCTAACCCCCCCCCCCACCCCCTCACACCCCTCACCCCCCCCACCCCCTCACACCCCTCCTCTCCCCCCCCACACCTCACACCCCCTCACACCCCACACCCCTGCTCTCCCCCCCCACACCCCCCCCTCACCCCTCAACCCCCCCTCACCCCCTCACCGCCCCCCCCCTCACCCCTCACCCCCTAACCCCCCCTCACCCCCCCCTCACGCCTCAACCCCTCACCCCCCCACCCCTCACACCCCTCCTCTCCCCCCCCTAACCCCCCTCCCCCCCCTCACCACCTCTCCCCCCCCGCCCCCCCCCCCTCACTTACGTGTTTCGGCCGAGAAGGGGCAGAGGCTGTCGGGAGGCGCTGCGGGTCCTGATCCCGGGGCCTGGGCCGCGCCGGGCAGGAGAGGCGGGGACAGGGCGGCCCGACCACAACCCGCACCTCCCGCTGTCTGTGACTGACTGACTGACTGAGTGTGAGGAGGGAGGGGGTGAGTGTGAGGAGGGAGGGGGTGAGTGTGAGGAGGGAGGGGGTGAGTGTGAGGAGGGAGGGGGTGAGTGTGAGGAGGGAGGAGGTGAGTGTGAGGAGGGAGGGGGTGGGTGTGAGGAGGGAGGGGGTGAGTGTGAGGAGGGGGTGGTGTGAGGAGAGGGTGGGTGTGAGGAGGTGAGTGAGTGTGAGGAGGGGGTGAGTGTGAGGGAGGGTGTGAGTGTGAGGAGGGGGTGAGTGAGTGTGAGGGGGGGGGTGTGAAGAGGGAGTGGGTGTGAGGAGGGGGTGGGTGTGAAGAGGGAGTGGGTGTGAGGAGGGGTGGGTGTGAGGAGGGGGTGAGTGTGAGGGGGGGGTGTGGGTGAGGGGGTGGGTGTGAGGGAGGATGTGAGTGTGAGGAGGGGGTGAGTGAGTGTGAGGTGGTGGGTGTGAGGAGGGGGTGGGTGTGAGGATGGGGTGGGTGTGAGGAGGGGGTGAGTGTGAGGGGGGGTGGGTGTGAGGAGGGGGTGAGTGTGAGGAGGGAGGGGTTGAGTGTGAGGAGGGAGGGGGTGAGTTGAGGAGGGAGGAGGTGATGTGAGGAGGGAGGGAGAGTGTGAGGAGGGAGGGGATGAGTGTGAGGAGGGAGGGGGTGAGTGTGAGGGGGGGTGAGTGTGAGGGGGGGTGGGTGTGAGGGGTGGGTGTGAGGGGGTGAGTGTGAGGGGGGTGAGTGTGAGGGGGGGTGAGTGTGAGGGGGTGAGTGTGAGGGGGGTGGGTGTGAGGGGGTGAGTGTGAGGGGGGGGTGAGTGTGAGGGGGGGTGAGTGTGAGGGGGTGAGTGTGAGGGGGGGGTGAGGGGGGTGTGAGGGGGTGAGTGTGAGGGGGGTGAAGTGTGAGGGGGTGAGTGTGAGGGGGGGGTGTGAGGGGGTGGGTGTGAGGGGGGGTGGGTGTGAGGGGGTGGGTGTGAGGGGGTGAGTGTGAGGGGGGGTGAGTGTGAGGGGGGTGAGTGTGAGGGAGGGGGTGGGTGTGAGGGGGTGAGTGTGAGGGAGGGGGTGGGTGTGAGGGGGTGAGTGTGAGGGGTGAGTGTGAGGGGGGGGTGGGTGTGAGGGGGTGAGTGTGAGGGGGGGTGGGTGTGAGGGGGGGTGGGTGTGAGGGGGTGAGTGTGAGGGGGTGAGTGTGAGGGGGGGTGGGTGTGAGGGGTGAGTGTGAGGGGGTGAGTGTGAGGGAGGGGTGGGTGTGAGGGGGTGAGTGTGAGGGGGTGAGTGTGAGGGTGTGAGGGGGTGAGTGTGAGGGGGGGTGAGTGTGAGGGGGTGAGTGTGAGGGGGTGAGTGTGAGGGGGGGTGGGTGTGAGGGGGTGAGTGTGAGGGGGTGAGTGTGAGGGGGGGGGGTGTGAGGGGGTGAGTGTGAGGGGTGAGGGGGGGTGGGTGAGGGGGTGAGTGTGAGGGGTGAGTGTGAGGGGGGGGTGGGTGTGAGGGGGTGAGTGTGAGGGGGTGAGTGTGAGGGGGGGTGGGTGTGAGGGGGTAGTGTGAGGGGGGGTGTGAGGGGGGGGTGGGGAGGGGGTGAGTGTGAGGGGGTGAGTGTGAGGGGGTGAGTGTGAGGGGGGGTGGGTGTGAGGGGGTGACAGGGAGAGCAGCCGCGAGTCTGGGCTAAGCTGAGCTGTCAGAGACCAGCACCTCCCCTCCGGGGATCCCCCTCCCGCCTGGCGCCGAGTGACAGGAGAGCGGCCCTGAGCCACACAGATACCCTGAGAGAGTGTGTGTACACACAGGGAGACCCTGAGAGAGTGTGTGTATACAGGGAGACCCTGAGAGAGTGTATACAGGGAGACCCTGAGAGAGTGTATACACAGGGAGACCCTGAGAGAGTGTATACAGGGAGACCCTGAGAGAGTGTATACACAGGGAGACCCTGAGAGAGTGTATACACAGAGAGACCCTGAGAGAGTGTATACACAGGGAGACCCTGAGAGAGTGTATACACAGAGAGACCCTGAGAGAGTGTATACACAGGGAGACCCTGAGAGAGGTGTATACACAGGGAGACCCTGAGAGAGTGTATACACAGGAGACCCTGAGAGAGTGTATACACAGGGAGACCCTGAGAGAGTGTATACACAGGGAGACCCTGAGAGAGTGTATACACAGGGAGACCCTGAGAGAGTGTATACACAGGGAGACCCTGAGAGAGTGTATACACAGGGAGACCCTGAGAGAGTGTATACACAGGGAGACCCTGAGAGAGTGTATACACAGGGAGACCCTGAGAGAGGTATACACAGGGAGACCCTGAGAGTGTATACACAGGGAGACCCTGAAGAGTGTATACACAGGGAACCCTGAGAGAGTGTATACACAAGGGAGACCCTGAGAGAGTGTGTATACAGGGAGACCCTGAGAGAGTGTATACACAGGGACCCTGAGAGAGTGCGTATACACAGGGAGACCCTGAGAGAGTGTATACACAGGGAGACCCTGAGAGAGTGTGTGTGTATACAGGGAGACCCTGAGAGTGTGTATACAGGAAGACCCTGAGTGTGTGTGTGTATACAGGGAGACCCTGAGTGTGTGTGTGTATACAGGGAGACCCTGAGTGTGTGTGTATATACAGGGAGACCCTGAGAGTGTGTATGTATATACAGGGAGACCCTGAGAGTGTGTGTATATACACAGGGAGACCCTGAGAGTGTGTATGTGTACACAGGGAGACCCTGAGTGGGTGTATACACAGGGAGACCCTGAGAGAGTGTGTATATACACAGGGAGACCCTGAGAGTGTGTGTATATACACAGGGAGACCCTGAGAGTGTGTATGTATATATACAGGGAGATCCTGAGAGTGTATATGTGTATACAGGGAGACCCTGAGAGTGTGTGTATACACGGAGACCCTGAGAGAGTGTATACACAGGGAGACCCTGAGAGTGTGTGTGTATACAGGGAGACCCTGAGAGAGTGTGTGTGTATATACAGGGAGACCCTGAGAGTGTGTGTATATACACAGGGAGACCCTGAAAGTGTGTGTATACACAGGGAGACCCTGAGAGTGTGTGTATACACAGGGAGATCCTGAGAGTGTGCATATACACAGGGAGACCCTGAGAGTGTGTGTATACACAGGGAGACCCTGAGAGAGTGTGTGTATACACAGGGAGACCCTGAGAGAGTGTGTGTATACACAGGGAGGCCCTGAGAGTGCATATACACAGGGAGACCCTGGGTGTTTGTGTATATACAGGGAGACCCTGAGAGTGTGTGTCTGTGTGTTTATACAGCAAGACCATGAGAGTGTGTGTGTGTGTACAGGGAAACCTGATTGTGTGTGTGTGTGTGTGTAAAAGGAGTACCTGAGTGTGTGAGTACAGGTAAGACCTTGAGCGTGTGTGAGTGCCTAAAATGAGGCAATGAGTGTCTTTGTATGAAAAGGTAAGCCCTGAGTGTGTGATTGTGTATACATCCTAGGATAGGAGATTCACTACTGTAACTGTCTGAGCAAATCTTTCCCCTTCCCAAGTATGTCTTGTCACACTTTCCATTGAACAAGCATAATATATCATGCATCATGATATAGTATGGTGCCTATACTGCCCGTACCCAACGTATCAGCCAAAGGTGGTTATGTGATACTCTAATACATTTTTCCTCAATTTCAATAGGCTACACAGTAAGTTTCAGGCAGAGTAGAGCAGGGCTTTATGGGAACGGAGTTGGACGCTGAACAAGGGAGAGCACGAGGTGGCCATAGGTACATTCAAAGAAGTTGGATTTGAGGTGAAAGTTAAAGACCAAAAGAGAGGGGTTGAGACGGAGTGGCAGACGATGGGTGTGGAATTGTGCAAAGATCCATGAGCCTGTGCAAATACTCAGCTGACAAATTTGAAAACAGAAGGGGTCAACCTAACCAGTTGGATGTAAAATTCAATTGACAGCAATTGAATAAACAAGAATAAACAAGCAGAACCTCCTTTTGGTGATCTGGAAGTGTCTGTGAATTCCTGGTAGCAGGGATAAAGTAATAAGCAGACAAAATACAGTATTTACTAAACTTTGTGAATATTTTCTCAATTTGTTTTTAGGACATTTAGGATAATCCAATTGGAAAGAATGGTGTACTTTTTCAGCCTCAACTTTCTGAAGCTCATTGCAGTAGGATATCTTTCACTATTTTGTGCGAGCTGCTCTGGTTTGAGATAGACATGGTCTCCTGTGGTAGCCTCCTGATGAGAAGGAGGTGGAAATGTTTTTCTGTTATTTTGTTACTGCCTCTTTGCAGACTTCCCATTCCATACTAGATGTGTCTGCCCTGAGCCCAACCCCATCCTGCCAAACAGTATTTTTGTTTAGTGTTGTGATTTTGAGTGTGTGTGTATATAGGGGGAAATCCTGAGTGTGTGTGTATATATATATATATATATATATATATGCAGGGAGACCCTGTGTGTATGCATATATATACAGGAAGACCCTGTGTGTGTGTGTGTGTATATATACAGCAAGACCATGAGTGTGTGTGTGTGTATCATAGAAATGTCTTGTCTTGATAATTGATATCTCAGTGTTAGCTTGACTACTTATTGCTAATTATAATAAAATAATCCTTGTCTCAGAACACTTTACAAGATTAATAATAGTTTTGACTGTTTTCATATTTGGATTTGTAATTTGTCCATTTCTAACAATTGTTTTTTTCCCCTATTAAATTTGTTGCTGATTTATTACTTCAAGGATTTATAAATAGTTTTTTAAAAACCTTGATTTGCACTACAAAATATCTTGTAACATACATTTGACAGATCTTTACCGCACTGAAAATGATATGGATCAATGGCCAAAATTTACTGTGAATGGTAAACGTAAATAGCAGTTTGTAAAAAGGTTATTTTACACTTCTAGAAAAGTGTGTAACAAGATATGTTGCAGTGCAAATCAAGCTT